CACACACACACACACACACACACACACACACACACACACACACAAGTAACTGGGGGAGTAACTGATGAAAAAGTAACTGATGAATTGAGTAATCTGGCAGTAGTACTGTCTGCAGGGTAAAAAAAGATAACATGTCTGTGTGGTGTTTGGTTACAGTATGACAGTTTCATAAATGGATTGGATAGCAGCAGACTCCTACCCATGGACATAACTTTTAGTTGACTGTGCTTATACTCTATATATAACTCCCTATTGCTTTGATAAATATGTTTTTAAGTGCTTTTCTGTTGTAGTCAGCAGGGTTGTTATTATAAACACAGAGTGGCAACCAATCTGCTCTCTTCCTTCCAACCTTTTTCCACTCCTAATGGAACAATGTCCATAACCCACTCCCCCATTATTACCCCCAGGGTTCTTATGCGCTTCTTGTCTAGGCACCCGCTACCCTCCATCTCAGTCTTTGTTTCCCCAAATTTTCTTCTCTTTCCTAAATGCTGACATTATCGATTTCTTCGGAAAGTTGATATTATCTCTGCTGTGAGGAATAAACTGGCTCCTATTTGCATCCATCTCACAGCCATGTCTTCCTCCAGCCCATCTCCCTCGTTTTATCAAACATACGCCGCACTTGATGCTGGCCTCTCCAGTTTGTATCCATAGCAGCAGATGACATAGCAGGTGAAAAGATGAGTGAATGTGACCAGGGGGTGTTTGCCTCTTTTATTTCCCAGCATCGTCTCCAGCCTACCACAAAGGTAAGGCTGGATGGAGAAATGGATTAAAGGATGGTCGATTTTTGTTTTATTAATTCATTTATTTTTTGTTTCTCTACGTGACCGCTTCTTTTTTTGTGAGGGCAAAACACAATAAAACGCATAAATGTGTTTATTTTATGTGTATTTATTTATTTTTCTAATGATAGGCTTCAATTTAAGCTTTGTTATTCATGATAATAAATGATCATAAAAATACGTAACATTTTTTCCTACTGAGCCTACAATCATTTAAATGTCCCTGTCATTTTGATGTATACGAAATTGAAGTATAAAACGCCAGAGTTAATTTTGCTAAAGTGAAAATTACATATTTTCCCCACCAAAGTCAGTACATGTATCCAGTAAGAAGAAGAAGAATCGTCGTCCATCTATTTATCCTTGAGCTTACTGCCTTGTTTTAGGCTATATTTACCATTTCTGACAAATGGTCTGTTGAGGTCGCATCTGTATGGAGATATCCTCCCTTTTTCACGCTTTCCTTCCTGCCCTCCCTCCTATAGCGTTACCCCCCAAGAACTCGACAACCACGAAATCAACCGTCATAAGGCTACAGACACTGCCAGCCATTTCCTGCCTCTAAAAGAAACACTCTTTTTAGCATTTTAAGGCAAACACGAGCAGGCTTTGTGCTTTTATATTTTACTATATTTTTTATAAAGATATAGGCTTCATTTTTTTTTAACAAGAAGGACAGAAAATGTCTTACTCCGCGCAGGAGAGAAGGTCTGGCGTTCAGCTGGTGAGCGCGCTGCTGCTAATGCTCTCGCTCTCCGGTAAGAAACAAAACACCCGAACCGATGCTCTGATACATAGGTACACGATCAAAGGTGCGATGACATTATATTTCCTTATCACTCGTATTTGCGCGTGTGGGTTGTATGGCAACAGAGGGGGTAGATGGGAGGGGTGGAGGGGGGCATTCCTATAATATGAGATAATGTCGCGGGACTGACATCCCTGAATTTACTAGTTTGACAAGGCCATGACAAAAAAACATAATACTGTGGTTTTATGCGACCAGTTTAAGCAAAGCGCTGCTTTTTGATCCGTTGTGCTGACTGGGAAACGACCCGTTTGCCCCTCTGTATCTTAATTTAGCCTTTGTTGACAGCTAAAATACTGACCCAATACATCACAGCCCTTAAAGAGGATTATGATGCAGCACACAAAAATAAATATTGGCTTTGTTTGCGCAAGTAATAGTAGTACCCAGCAGGTCGCTCAAGTATGGCTCAATGTTGTGAGTGCAGTGAGTGATGGATAGAAATAGGCCTTTAATGGCGTGTTAACGCTGTGGTAATATTACCAGGAGACACTCCTGGCTGTTCAACAACAGATAGACATGATAATTCACAGTAACGTTGTGAGCGCACCCTACAAGATCCTTACCATCAACAATGTATTAATAAGTAAAGAGGCCCAAATTTTAAGCACATCTTTACCAGAGATCGGAACAGTGCTCTCTTTATTATACCATAATAGAAGCCCCAATATTCCCCCACTGCTACTTATGTTAGTCTCAAATGTGAAATCCAAAATCCCAGCACTGTGTTAGGAAGGTCGGTCTTAGGGACAGCACAGGAAGGAGATGTCATGAAGGATCATATTTCAATAGTGTAAGTTATATTAACCATTTTAGAAATATAGGTAAACTCATAGCAGCATAGTTTTCAATGAAAGCACCCTTTGTTGTTTCACCCTTTTTTATAGCTGAAAATAGATGCACAAAAGTTAACTTTTGCCAGCAAACCTGTTGCCTGACACACCCTCTTTGTGTGTTAGTGTTTGTTTGTTTTTTGGCAACGTAAATCCAGTACTAAAGGAAAGAAACGCTGAAACACTCACACACCCTCTTTGTGTGTGAGTGCGCATTTGTGTTGGGACAAATGCATCTTACATAGGCTCATCAGTTTGAGATACCTCTTAATATATCAAAAATAACCTAACCTCACATTATTAAAAATCTGAACTAAGCAGCTAGCTGCAGTGTCATTTAGCAATGCTGATCCACATTTCAGACACAGTAGGTGATTAAAACCCTGTTCCCATAAACATATACATATTTTGTGTTACATGTTGTTATGGATTGTGAATTTTAGTTGTCTAGACAAATAATTCTGTAAACATGTGAGTGTAGCATCCTACAGACTTTATTTCTGCAGTTTTTCTTTCTAACACAATTCCTTCTGTCCATCAGTGTCACTTTACTCATCACCTGCACCATTTCAGTTCTCACAGAGAGGCACTAGAGGGCAGCAGCACAATGACACGAGGAGGCATGTAATAACAGTGCACTGCCTTAAAACATGGCAAGCTTAAGTACAGAAGTTTCAGGTTATCACAGCTGAATCCTTACAGTAATTCAGAGTGGTGGAAATTTAATTTGTTTATATAAATGACAAATGTTTGAAACACGACTGTATTATGTGAGATGTTAACATCATTATTGTCATAGGCACTGTGGCTTAGTTCCAAACTGGGCAGCTTAACACCACAGTGCTTTTCACTCTCATTGGTAGTCACTTCAGTCTTCAGTTGAGAAAAGTTTATTTCGCATCCTGCCCATTTCCTATCATCCGCAGTTATGGGAATGATGGGAAATGGGCAGTAGTCACTTCACGCTTTGTGTAGTCTCAGAGATGATATTCCTGTGATTTGCTTCCAGTGTGTATGTAGCTTACCACCAGTCATGATATCTGAGTCAAATGTAATAGTAGTCAAGAAGAAGAAAAATGAAGAAGTTCTGTGGCAGATGGGAGTTTGGTAACTGTAGCAGAAAGTTGGACTGTTGGAAGATATTTGACAAGTACTTTGGAAAGCCATGCGCAGCTCCACTTTGCTGTTTTGCAGAGGAAGGGTGTCCAAGTGTCTTTATGTATGGTGTATACTTTGGCAAGAAAAAACTGGGGACACAGTTATGATTCCTAGCACACGAGCAAACTGGAACTGTTAAACAAATTATTTTTACCTTAGTATATTTTGGAATAGTACAGCTGTTATTTAGAGGTAGAATGAACAATTTCAAAGTCATTGTCCTGGTGGACATGATCCATTACAAAGGTTGCTAATACCTTGCTTGGTTGGTTAATAACCAGTAATAATTGGTACTTTGTAGTAGGGCTGCACGATTAATCGTTAGAAAATCGCGATCTCGATTCATACTTATGTGCGATCTCATTTCCAAATGACAACGATTAAAGAAAAAAAAAAAGACGACGACGATTGTACCGCATTTTGATCCGGGATGTAATCTGCATGAAAACAAGCACTCACTGTTCCTGCTCAACAAATGACAAGGGCGGAGCCTTATACCACGTGATACAGGAGCTGTGCCGTGTGATGCTAAAATTAGCAGGGAAAAAACAACGGAGAGCACGTCAGGGATGACGAGAAAGTGACAGGAGAAAATCCGTCCCGGTCAACCACCCAAACATCAATAACGGGAACCTTATACAGCGCTTCCCTATACACGTCGAACTCCCGCAGGCACAAAGAAATTACGGAGGCTATCACTTATCACCTGACCAAAGATATGGCTCCCATCAACACTGTGCAAAACGAGGGATTTAGGAAAATGATCAACACCCTAGACAAACGCTACACAGTGCCGTCCCGCAACTATTTTTCTATTGTTGCACTACCTGCTCTATACACGCAGTGTCGAGCAACGGTGGAGACGGAATTTCAAGCAGTACAACATTTTGCGGCAACAACAAAACGTGAGACATTTGTTGTTTTTATGTTTATTTATTGTTTTTATGTTCAGTTTCAACTGTTACGAAGTTGATGTGCAGTTAATAAGTGCAATAAATATTTATACTGGAAAAGAAAATCGTGAGAGAATCGTGATCTCAATTCTAAGCCAAAAAATCGTGATTCTCATTTTATGCAAAATCGTGCAGCCCTACTTTGTAGTACCAATACCAATAAGTGATACTTAGTTTGTTATAAAAAATCTTCCACATAAAAACTTGAGTGAACATGTGCAAACTTTTGTGGTTTTGCTGAAAGATTGTGAGGCTGCTGAGCGTTTTAATATCTGTAAAGTGTACCATAAAACATCCAGACTCTACTATAAGTACACTTGGTTGTCAATAATGCATAAAGGGTGAAGGAAGTCAGAGAACATGGCGTACTTTTTAAAGCTTCCTCCTTAAACTTGCTCCATTTTTGTGTCTTGTTTTCAGTCTAAAGGAGAAGTCTAAGGCTAAAACACTAAAATGAAAGAAGATCAATAAAGGCCTGGCTACATCTGTGGTTATTTGTCTCCCATGCGCAAAACTAACATTTGTGTAACATATCACCCAAGTAGTCTCCATTGTCTTTTTGTGTTATCTTTAAATGAGTTGTGCCGTAATCAGAGAAAATCTGATTGGGTGGGGGGTTGCTTCTGGCTGCTGCAGTATGCAGAATGTAGTAAGGCTGTCTCCAAGGCAGAGGGCACTAGAGACAGTTCAAGTGAGTCAGAAATTTAAAAGCAGCATGCCGGTGCTGAAATATTATCCACAGAAATGTGTCTGGTTTGTTTAAAAACAAGTGTAACTCTTGACAACAAAACTGATCTCTGCTGCTGGAGCAATATATACAGTTCCCAGTGTTTACTCTCTCCCTTTCCCGCATGCAATCAAGCTTGCACCAAGTCTCCCAAAACACCAAAAAATCATTTGTTTGTTGGAACATTTTTCACACGCAAAAACAGTACATGCGGTGACACGATCATTGTCCAAGTGGAAGCTAAGTGAATAACAAATACTGTCTTGTCCCAACTTAATCTCACAAATCTCCTGTGCACATAATATAGTGCCCATGGCTTAGAGAAACCAATAAGCACTTCTGAACCAGCAGACACTGTCTGACTGAATGCTGAAGGCAGATTTGGTGTTAAAATATTAGATTTTGTGAGAACAACAGAGGTCTTTAGACAGACAGTGTAGGTAAAATGTAAAACCCAATTAGAGTGGGTTATGGGCACTTTGTGGTAAACATGGATGTCAGGCTCTGAGGGATGAGGAAGTCAGAGGTCAGAGTCAAACATGAAGTTCATATTAAGCCGCTCCTCTGTAGGCTAATACCCTAGTACTTTTAGGAACTGCACTATTTGGTCTTTTTTAAATCAATTAAATTAAAATAAGCTGGGGGGATGTCATTTTATTTGGAACAACCTCTCAATACCTAACTGAAGCATTTGTGCACTCAAAGCTGTTTTGCTGCTATGTGTACAAGAGACTTTCAGATATTGTGTATTCTGTAAAGTTGCTCTTCAGCGGATTCTTTATCTGAAAGTTTTGTCCATGCTATCCTGCAGAGGCCTAATTGGATTGAGACTTGGAAGCAGAGGAGATTAGTCCAGAGTAGTTCTAAAAGAAAATCATGCTATATGCATACTATCTAGATATATATATGTTTTTACAAACCTTTACTGGATTTTATATTTACTGGATAACCAAAGGGCTGTAGTTATTTGGAACACTATGTTGTCTGCGAATCATTTTAGTGTTGGATTAGACTGCTGGCTTTACCCCTTCATAATATTTTTGTTCTATTAAATGAAAATGAATACTTTTTTACCAACTTACACATTTATTGTGAAATTGATTTCATTTGCACAATTCAAACCTAAAGAAATAAAGGTATGGAGAGGGAACAATACGGAGGAGGTAAGAGATCTACCTCACTTTACTTTCTTCTGCACTGACCTTGCATTACAAAGAAGCAATTGAGACAAAAAGAGAAAAAAGGGGGTGGGGGGCTGTGTTAGGGGTTGGAAAGCGGTACAAGGAAGGAGGGAAGAGAGGTGGACAAAGATGGGGGAGAGGGAAATTGGGAGGGGCAGTGAGAGGGAGGAGTCACATGAGGGTTCTTCACTGCAGTATTTCATCTGTTAGCAAGTCTCTGCATCTGCCTCTTTTTTTCCGACTCTCCACAGGACTGCTGAGTCAGCAGGAGCCTATGTCAAACAGTTTCCCTTGTTTTATATCTGAATGTTTACAGCTTCCACTACCAAAGACACATGTATGACGGTAGTCATACATGTGTATGATTAAGTCATACAAACAGCAAAGGCTGTTTGAGTGCATTGCTGTTAGCAGTGTAAAGATAGGTCACTACGAAGGGATGACATTGAAACAGCACTGCTAGTGGGGTGGGCTCACTGCTAACACTTTCTTGGAGGATGTGTATGCATGCATGTGTGTGTTTATTAGGGAGATAGGGGTTAAAGCAGGTGCAGTGCTGCTTCACAGCACACCTGACTATGGTGGACTGTGCACATAGCAAATTGCGTGTGTGTGTGTGCGTGTGTGTGTGTGTGTGTGCGTGCGTGCGTGCGTGCGTGCGTGTGTGTGTGTGTGTGTGTGTGCGTGTGTGTGTGTGTGCGCGCGCGTGTGGTGCAGAGAGGCAGGCCGGTGGAGTGGTGCAGCAGCAGTGGGAAGGGAGCCAGAAACACTCGACTGCAGAGGAGAGAATGGTGCAGAGTCCCATCACACACGCACGCACAAACACACACATACTTACTGAGAGAGAGGCACAGATTCTGTCTGGGGAGTGTGAGCCCATGCTGAGACAGGATGTTAGAGGGGAGGAGGAAACTTGAGGAACCTAAACGATACTTCTGTTTCATTTCATTTTATATTATGTACATTTAAAAGCATTTGGCTTTCATTTGAGAATATCAGAATAGTTGCTTAAATGGCATATATATATATGTATGCATATACATCTCTGATCGAGAAATCACTCATCTTTGGAAAAGAGAGTTTATTACAGAGAAAATAAAAGCTATACTATATGCTTCTTCTGGGCTATATTCTCAGCAGCATATTAAACATATCAGGTCTCCATAAGGAGAATCATGTGTTAACGGCTGTCTAAATGACTCGCGTAAAGTTTGTAGCATGTGTGCTTGTTGTTTTTGTCTGCTTCCACTTGTCTTTGCACTAGGATGATGTTGGCGTAAATGTTCAGTCATATTCATTTTGTTCCACTAGTGCTGTCAGCGTTAATCTCATTAAAATGACATTAACGCCATAACGCGGCAAATCTCAGTTAACAAGTTACCACGGATCGCCCCGTGCTTGGACATTACCAATAAGTTTGATGTGTCACATGGCCCTCTTTCTATTGAAAAAACAAAAGTTGTATCCAAGATGGCCGACTTCTAAATGGCCACCATGGTCACCACCCATCTTGAAGAGTTTGCCCCCTCACATATACTACTGTGCCACAAACAGGACTTTGATATCACCAACCCTTCCCATGTTATTACGGTGTATCCATATAAATGGCCAACCCTGTACATATACAAACATAGTTCTCAGCTTTTAATAACGTTAAACCAGTTGATAGACATTTTCATGTTAAATTATGTTGACCATTCTCATAAATTTTTGTATTTTTTTCAAACTTTAAATGGATATAAATTGGTTTAAATGTCCATCCATCCATTTTCTTCCGCTTATCTGGGGCCAGGTCGCGGGGGCAGCAGCCTAAGCAGAGAAACCCACACCTCAAATTCCCAGACCAAGCGAGAGATGATGTCTCTCGCTTGGCCTGGGAGCACCAAGACATTTCCAGGCCAAGTGAGAGATGTAATCTCCCCAGCGTGTCCTGGGTCTGCCCTGGGGCCTCCTTAATGGTTTAAATGTAATGTATTAATCTTAGTACTATCATCACTAATGCTGTTTATTTGTATTCACAGGTTGTTCAAGCATGGACGTAATTGTGGCCAGTAGCATTAATGCACTAAATGGAACAACGGTAAAAATTTCTTGTGTCTTCACTTCCTGCTATAAGATGGATGTTACCAAGTTTGCCATGAATTGGACCTACCAAGAAACACTCAACGATACACAGGAACTGGTAAAATGGATACTTCATTAATTTTTAGCAAAGTACTTACATTTTAAATCTCTGAGCCTGTTACAAAAGCTTGCTCTCTTTTCATAGTTTATGACATACTATAAGAAAAGGGGAATGGTGCCTCTTCGATCAGAACGGTTCGGAGAAAGGGTCACGTTTGCTGGGAACCTGGATAAGAATGACCTGTCAATCACTCTATCAAATGTTCAACTGGAGGATGAGGGTATTTACAACTGCTATGTGAGAAACCCCCCAGACCGCATCCAGGGACATGGTATCATACAGCTTAATGTTGTCACAGAACGTAAGATTCTTATTTTAACTTCTGCACACACAAAGTGGGTAACCTTATCCCACTGATCAACTTGTGAAACAAATGCATGTGCGTCAGAATTACATTCCCATTTCACTAAGCATCATTTGGTGCCATTTAACGTCATGCAATATGAAATCATCTCAGAACAACAAGTTACAATAACCACAGCACAAAATGTTGTCAGTTTGGAAAATAAAACAAATATTCAACTACACCAGATTCCTAAAAAATTCCACTTGTCAGTAAGACAAAAAATAGTATCTCACTACTAGTAGTAGCAGATAGTGAACTATACCACATGCGAGTTTAACTTTATCATAACATTGATCATACTAGGGCTGTTTGCACTGCTTTGACTGCTTTGATTATCCTGTGTAGGATGATCTGCAGCTTTGCTCCTCTCTTATGCTGGGCAGACACTGCGATTTTTTCAGTCGCGCGATTCAGCTCCTGCTCAAACTGTACTATTGACTCGCAGGGGTTAGAAGTTCGTAGGTCACGATGCTGGGTCTCACACTATACCGCCCGATGCTCTGATGCGACCTGAGTGCTCACACTGTGCCTCCATAAAATGAAGGTTATAACAGAAATTCTGTCGCTCGCTCTCTCTCTCTGTCTTTCACTCACACAGACACGCACACCACCACCATCAACTTTGCTAAATTGCTAATGAAAAACATTGATCAGGCAGCTGTGATTGAGCAGCAGTGTAGATCCAACTATTTTCACGGTTGTTGTGGTCATGATAATTTTGTGAGGCCAGTATCGAAAAGGCTCGGGTGAGCTTGAAATAGTTCTACAAGTTGTGCCTCCATCGCTTGTGTCCAGATCACACGCTGCACTGCCGTGCTACGCTGTCTTTTTCGCTGACATTTGTGTTTGCGCGTACGCAGTGTGACAAGCTGCGGTGACACCCTCAGTCAAACTTGTTTGAAATCCTCACGACCAAGCGATTGATGATCGGGAGCTGGTCGTGAGGTGTTAATCGCTTCTCGTTACCCCACGTATAATACACCAGCGGTCCCCAACCCCCGGGCCTCGGACCGGTACCGGTCCGTGAGTCGTTTGGTTTGGCCGCGAGAGTTGAGGCTCAGGTGTTAAATGTATAGTTTTCAGGGTTTTTATTGGTTTTCAGCGTTATTTTGTTATCGTTTTTATCGTTTACTCGGTTTTCCTGGGTCTTTTCACGTGTGTTATGAATAAATCTTCTTTTTTTCGGTACCGGTACTAGTTTTATTTTGTTGTATTTATCCGCGACACCTTAAAGGTTGGGGACCGCTGTACTACACGATGCACGACGCACGATGAAGGCCAAAATTTGTATATGTTTGTTTCTCGAGCATGACGATCTCCTGATGATGATGATTCAGCTTTTTTACTTATTAATGACCAACAAGAGGTTGAACTTAGTCCATCAGCATCTCTCACACACACATATGCACTCACATGGACCAACTCAGCAGCACTTTCTTACTTTCCACTCTGTTTAATCAACCCTACAGAGCTTTTAGTCAGCACTTCACTTGTCTACAAAATGCTTAACCCTTTCCTCTCCTTTCCTCTCCTTTCCTCAGTCCCACCTCCAAGGGATTCAACCATTGCGGTTGCCATTGGGGCTTCTGTGGGAGGAGCATTAGCACTGCTGATCCTTTCCATGGTAGTTGTGAAATGTCTCCGTCGACACAGGAAACAGGAACTCATTTCAGAGGAGAAAATGGAGGAGGAGGGGAAACTGGAGGCTGAAGGTGTTGCGGAAGAAGGAACCAAGTAAGAGATCTTGGCATAAAAGCATTAACCATCACTTGAAAACTACGAGCAGCACAAACACAGAAAAGTAAAGAAGTTGGATGCCACTTCTCTTACAGCAGCTGTTTTCCTACAACATAGGCTACGTATAAAAAGAGTATTCTGCCATGGCAAACATCACATAGCACACTTAGGAAAAATGTCTGGTACTTTTTTTCTGTTGTTATTATTATTGTTACTGCCATTTTTTCCCAGTTAAGTTCAACTTATAAAGGAAAAAAACAAAACGCCCCATGCTTGGCTCTTCTTGGGCAGAAATGTAGCAAGTGCTTTTATTTAAAAGAAAAAAGAAAGAAAGAAGTGCTGGAGTAGTGAACTATGCAATATCCAAGTTTAACTTTATTATAATATAAATAGTACAGAAGCTGTTTTGATCCAAAAACACCAGTGAGTTTGTGCCAGATGTTGGTTATAGTGCAGGTTTAAGTGTTAACAATGGCCAGGAATGGAAAGAGTTTTGCTGGCACAAAAGAAATAAAATAGCCCTGACAGAACTATGTCTTTGACTTATTCACTTTATCATCATTGAAAACATTGAAAGCTATAATGGACAACAGCAGACACCCTCTCCACACTGGCTGGGCAGACGGCTCCTAAGTCTTTTTAACACCCTCTTTTATCCCCATTTTTAAAATGAGTTAAATATTTTATTTATGTATTTATTTATGGTTATAAATGTATGGATGTGTGCTTTTAAATTGAGATGCTGGATGTTTGAATTTCCCCTTGGTTGTGAATAAAGTACGTAGCTATTTATCTATGTGTCATTCTACTTCAAAGCCAACCTGCTGTCATAATGTTGCATCTCTTTTTGCTACAGGCAACCATAATGGATCATGTGGTTAAACCAGAAGCCTGTGGAGCTCCCAAAACCCTGGTAAATATCTCCTCAGCTAAACAGTTATTTATCCACTGGAAGCCCATTGTCTGCTATGGAGTGTAACTTGACCTGAAGAAAAAAAAGGAAATACAGTTAACTTAAACCTTAGTAATATTAGCTTTCCATCTTACTTGCTACTTAAGAATGTCATTAGCAAGAAATTTAAAGGGACTTGTAATGAACAGAAGACACTATACCTATTGCATTTAAGTAAAAAATTTTACTTTCTTTTGTCTTTCAGACATATCCATCCCTTCTTGAGGATCTATAGTAATCACACCTCTTTATGCTTCCATCCCGTTTGCATGTTTGTGTGTGCGCGGATGTCTAATGCACATATATCTGTTTCTTTGTGTGTGTGTGTGTGTGTGTGTGTGTTGAGGATATTTTTGTATGTCTGAATCAAATGTGTCTATTTCCTCGAAAATATCTGGTAACTTACCCAGTAAATGCATATTGTTTTATTCATAGCTTTAACTCACTGTTAATAACATTAGAGGTTTTTCTTATGACACAGAATGCCATTTTCATAGCATAATATATGGTGGGCTATGGGGCTGGGCGGTATGACTTAAAAAATTATATGAGGGTATATTTTGAATATAGAACTTTAACTAAAAAACTGAATGACAGTGTAATATTTTTGCTGTTACTGTTTGTATAGCTGTAATGTTTTATATTCAATCCCATGCTTTGGGAGAAAAACCTTTAACTGCCTGCAATGAGCTATTGATAAATATAACAGCGGTTGTGGAGATAACGCTTCATACATAATGAAAGCTGAAGCTATTTCAACTATCATATGCAGCATGTATATCTGTTGTGGCAGTACATTGCTGATAACTCCAATGTCTAACACGTCCAATGTTGGGGTTTTGTTTTGAATGGGGTTTTTTTGTTGTTTTTTAACATACATACTGTGAATCTAGTGGGGTATTTTTAAACATTGCCTTAAAGTCTTTTAACTGCCTGTATGGACACCATGTCTTAACATACATTAGATGCACAGCTGGATTTTGCTATTATATAAATATGACCAGTTTTCAGTGAGTAAGCCAAATTATGTTTACACGGAGCTCGAAATCTACTTGTGTCTGAGTCAGAAAGCATTCTCAAACATTCCTAATATCTGGTGAATTTTGACAAAGCAGTTGGTCTGTGCACTCTACAGATTTTTTATTCAGTCAACTTCTCTCAGAAACCAGAAAAACAAGTGCCCCATTAATATTTGTCTTTACACTAGAATACTGCAAATACTTCAAACCATTTCATTATTGCAAATATTTCAAAATAACAAAATGTTTTTTAGTATCTACACATTTTTGAGCTGCCTCTGTCCTATGTCTTAGCAGTTTGTTATTAATAAATTGAATAACTTAAATGAATAACTTGATTACATGAATTGCTTTTCAGAATATGTTATGTAGTTTAGATTCTATACTAATGCAAACAAAATAGCATTCTTTATTCTTTTTTTCTATTTCTTTTTAAAATAATTCTACTGTATGTCATACCGTCCACCCCCATAACAGGAACCTTTCCATTAAGCCTGATACTGTATAGGAATGACTTGGAGTGCCTGAATAGAGAAGTTGCAGTGATAAGCACAGATTTCATTCATTCTCTGTTTTACATACAATTAAAACGTTTTAGTCTTGATGATATCTGTGACTGCACTGCATTATACAGTCATTTGCATATTCCACTCAGGATTCTCAGAAATCCACACAATATAAACACAACTAACACTTTGTAAAAGAACAAAAACATACGAAAGAAAGTTTAAAATGACGGCCACAACATTGAAGAATATTGAGTCTTATAATTTATGTGCCAACTTTTATTGATAGAATCTATTAAAGGTTGTCACAACAGTGACCTACACACAGACAACAGCAATATATTGTACTAATCTCCATCTCCTATATCACGAGCTGGTATAAGTCACAGCTGAAAGCAAATATTTGAATGTTTACATTCCTAACTGACAGAAATCCTGTTTTATAGAAACATAAAAATGGACAAACTGAATCACTGCTTCCCAATTTATACACTTTTTAGAGTGTATATAAAAGCTTAAGAAAAAATGTCTATTAAATAGTTGTAAAGCTTTACATATTCTATTCTAGCTAAGTCTCCAAAGTAATGACTTTACCTCAACAACAGTGTGCAAAACTGTTTGCACCTCAAAACAGTGATGCATATTCTAATGTTAATGTAGTGGAGATCATGTGAATATAATGGAAATGGGGAAAAAAAACATATATAGTGCAGATATTGTAATGATATTAAAACTGTTATAGGGAATGTGTGATTGTGTATTTCACTATTAAGTTGACTAGAGAATCTTGAATGTTTTTAAAATATATATTCTCCTAGTAAAATACTTGATCACTCTTTAATATCAGTCCCGCATGTACACTTTGTTATTGTCAGAATGTCCCATGATGATTCAACTTCAGTTTACTACGATAATGAGACAGCAGTGTCACAAGGTGATGTCTCAGTAACTGTTAAATGGGAGGGTTCCAAATCTGGTGGCTTGGCCTGACCTGGGTTTTGGCTCTGTTAAAAAAAAAAATTTAAAAAAAGTTGTGTACAGGTCTATATTTAGGTCTGTTAAGATCTATGATTTTATCATTTGTTGTCCATTATTATGGATGATGCACTGCATAATTTCATCAAATATTAATGGCACATCTAGTCACTGTAATATGTTCACAACCTTGTATTGCTCTGTGCTGGTCAATAAAAGCTAGAATTGTCACTTCGTACAATCATGTGCTAAAGAATAATAAAGTGATTACAAAATTTTGAGTTTTTTCATTAGCTTTTTCACATGGTAAATGGCCTGTATTTATATAGCGCTTTACTAGTCCCTAAGGACCCCAAAGCGCTTTACATATCCAGTCATCCACCCATTCACACACACATTTCCTGGTACACTGCTGTCTGTGTGTAATCATGCATGTTTAAGTTACAGGGTTTGTTGACCCATAAGGTGATGGCAGATTAACATTTAGGGCAAATTTACTGCAGTTATCACCAGACAGGTTTTATCAGCAATATAGTATATATTGTGGTGTAGTATACTTATTATTCAAAACAGTTTACAGTTAAAAAAAATATAATGTGCTAGATATTGTGCACTGCTGTTTTCCACCTCAAGCTATGAATTTGCCCTGAATAGTTTCTGTTATATCACTTTACATGTTAGTGGACATCAAGTTATGCTTGCACTGCGCTGCCTCTAAACAAGTGGCAATGTATTTCAAATAAATATATATGAAAATATCAGGTTTTTGTCCTTTTTTAACCATCCATCCATTAGATATACATGTTTGTTCTGATCATTGCAAAAATGCTATATGTTACACATCACTTGGTACCTTTTGGGTTTTTTTTTTCTTCATTTCATATTTCATTGTCTTACTTATTTACACACCAGAGAAAATTATTTGTTACACTGATTGATATGTTACTTTCCTGTTAGTCCATAACATGAAATGCACTGTCACATTATTACCAGTCAAGCCGATTGTTCAGTCTGACGTCACTAGCCATGTCTGGGTCTAAATTCCGCTGCAGGTCCATATATCAAACGATCACTATGGCATTACTGAGAGTTGAAAAACTGTCTAAAGTCTTTCATCTTTAATAAAATGATCAGCGTTCTGCTCTACCAGGTGTAACAATTGAGTTTAACATCCAGGCATCCATGAAAACGGAATTTATGACATTTAACGGAGTTAGAAGTTAGCAGGGAGTTAGCTCGCTAGCTTCTATCTAAATAAAATATAGCATGTCCTGACTGCGGGGTTTAGGAAACAAATTAAAACGTACAGCTCTGTTATCACTTCCAGTATAAATGAAGACAGAAAACTAAACAGCAGTGACGTTTGTAGGGTTACTGAAGTTGGGCTAGCTATAGCTAATGATGTGCTACGTGACCGCTAGCGACACAGCTATGTTAGCATAATATAAACAAGCTAACTTTTTTTCCACTCGATAAAAGTTAACGTGAGTGTTCTCGGTGGTCAGGAACAAATGTAATCGCATGGCAGGATGCTGTAAAAGGACCAAATTTCAGCCAGGAGAACAACTGAGATAATCCATCCACAATACGAGGTTAGTCATTCATATACTGCTGCATGGGCTGGGCTGTAGTTACATCCTAAGGTTTTAAAACTGAGCTTAAATAAATGATTAGTGGTAATAAAAGCCAAGGGAGCTCAACAGGTATCACTGACTGTTTTAGGAGCTTTTTGAGATCAAATAGAAGAAAATACATAACATTAAACATGTTAACAACACAAAAGCCATATTAAACGCAGACTACTTTAGACCTGGAAGTAAGATTTGTCGCGTCATCACTGAACAACCGGATAGTGTTAAGCTTGAGCTATTTATTGACTCTCTGGCACAAATCCCAACAATTTGTCTTCTAGTGTTTGTTTGACCACACAGAAAGAAAGTCAGAATTCTGACTTTTTTCTCAGAATTCTGAAAAAAAGAGGCCCCCACTTTTTTATTCCAGTAGCCCGAATCGTCTTCTGTACAGAGCTGAAAATACAAAGCAAAGCTGAAAACCAGCGCGAAGACACTTTAAAGCAATCAACTACAATTCTACACTGTAGAACCATGTACAGGGAGAAATGTAAGCCAATGTGCTACAAGCCTGGCTGCTCATCACTGCTTTTGTTACCTGATAAAGATCAGGCTCTGACTGCTGGTCTGAGGTTGGCATACATTAAATCTGCTTTGATAGCTTCCTCTTAGTATGTTGTGGTATGTGGGATTCTTTTACCATTAGCAAAAATTGGCTACTTCTATTCAAGGCTACCACTAGCACAATAACATGAGTAGCATAAATTTGGCTAATAGCTAACCTAATTTTATATATATTTATTGTTTTTCAATTTATTGTTTTCTGTGTATTAATAAAGAAAACACTTTGTGAAATTTTATACTAACAAAGGTATTTGTTTCTTTTCTTCCCACATTGCAAAGCTAGGACATCACAACAAAGTGATTGGTCAGGTGCAATGTTGATCTTGGAACATTATTATGACAATGCAGGATCAACACCAAGATGGGGAAGCGCATTATGCATTATCAAAAATGTTGTGTGATTACAGGAACAAGTAAAAAAATAGCACCAGTTGTCACAAGCATGATAACATAACTCTCGCTTTATGCTGCAGTCTATTTAGAGTCCTGGCATCGCCTCATGTCTTTGCACTGAGTGGAAAACAAAGTCACCAAAGAAAACTGGCAAGGATTCAGACCTACATGCAATTGCCACAGTAGGAACCCCTTTTTCAGAGTCAAAGCTAACCTGTGCTATCAAATCCTTCATCCATTAACACCGCTAACAGCTGTAACCATGTTGCGACTTATAGCATCCCATCATTCACCTCTGTCTTTGACAGTATTGCGCAGCATATTTTCTTTTACTACTATGCTATGCCACCAAGTGAGTATCTTTCAACTGTTCCAAGGATCTGTTCTTTACACTATGATAGCTCAAGTACACATTATACGAGCAGTAATTAGTCTCAAAGCTAGAAAGCCAAGCTGTACTCTGATCTCATCCAAGAGGACAAGTTGGAGCTGCTCCACTGAGAATGAATCAGAGGTGACTTTGTTAATGAAGATTAAAGGATGCATTCAGTGTCTTTACTACAACGCAGACAAGAAGCAAACCTACATTAAACCATGCACAGATTGTTTTGATCTATCTTAGACCCAGAAGGCAGTTTCAGTAATACTTCGATTTTGAAATAATGTTTTCAGCTCTGGAAGAGCTTTCATAATGACAACAGTGCAACAAATCTGACACTTCAAACTACAAAGGTGATACAGAAATGTCAGATTAAAGACCATGGTCGAGAAACCAAAAGCACAAGTCTACAGAGAAACAGCTAATAACAGCTGTGTGTAGTTTGACAAATATTCCTATGATGTATAATAGGAGATTTAAATGTTCTTGTGAAGTTAATCACACAACATGTGGGACATATAAACCCAAACAAAAATAAAAACTTAAAGACAACAAAATGATGAGTTTAAAGGGTCTGGCTACAGTGCTACTGCACAAAACTTATTTCTGCAAACAGTTTTTATACTTAAACCTTTTAGACACCAAGCTACCATCTTGTTAAAGAGTACTGAGCCAATTATACACAACTTGATATCTGACTTTTAACAATGAGACAATATAATACTGCACAATAAACCTCCAAAACTAATTTTCAGCAAGAGGCCAGCTGAGGTTCATAAAATATCGGCTTTGCCATCTGGTACTTAACATCTCTAACTTTACTGGTAGGTGTGTGAGTGTGCGAATCAAAATGGACAGCACATTTGCTCTTAACTTTTAGACATGACTCACCTTTTGATGAATGCGGATCCGCACCGACAGACAGATGGATGGATAGACATATAAATAACGGGAGCACAAACTGCAGGAACAACACAAATTTGAAAAAGAAAGCAAAGACAATGAAAGACAAAAAGTCAAGCATGCAGCAACATCTGAAAAGGGCGACAAAGAGAATGGGTGCTGGAGAAGCAGAGACAGATTGACCTGCTCAGGTAAAGAAAAGGAGGAAGGACAGATGAAAAGGAGAGGTGGAGAGAGGCCCACACCTTGTCTTCCTCCACTCAGATGCGTTGTGAAATCTGCTCACTCACCGGCTGGTGCAGAGAGAGAGAGAGGGGGGTGGGGGGCGGG